CACGGCACTCACTCTAGCCCGGGCAAAAGAGTGAGACTCTGGCTCAAAAAAAAAAAAAATTCCTTGTAAACCATTTTAATGGAGGCTTAATATTCCACCATATATATGGACATATCTTCATGTACTTAACCATCTCTCTAATGTTTCATGTTTAGGTTTTTAAGTTTTTGCTACTAAAAAATAGGTATCTTTGTACAGAAATCTTTGTCCTCATTTCTGATCTCTGTAGGATCAATTGCCCAATATGTAATTATTGGGTCAAGTGTTTTTATTTTTTTCAGAGAAAGGGTCTGTCACCCACGCTGGAGAACAGTGTTGCAATCATAGCTCACTGCAACCTTGAACTCCTGGGTTCAAGCAATCCTCCTGCCTCAGCCTCCCAAGTAGCTGGGTGCTCACGATAGATTTGCTGAAGCAACAAAAAGACCCTGGATGTTTATTCATTTGACAAATAATTCACTGAGCACCTAATATGGATGAAAACTTTTCTGGGCACTCTATCACCACTGAACAAAATAAAGATAGGTGTCCTTATGGACCCTTTATTTTTGCAGGGTAAGAATCAACATTTAAGACACAGTGTGCCAGAGGTAAAAAGTTCTGTGGAGGCTAGGAGGGCACTGGAAGGTTTTAAACAGGTGACATGGTCTAACTTACCTTTAGAAAGAATCACTGGCTGCTCTTTTGTGAACACATTGCAAGGAGCAAAAACAGAAACAAGGAGAGTCGCAGTAGTATAGGCAAGAGATGATGGTAGCTTGGATCAGGTTAAGAGTGGAGATGGTGAGAATGGATGTATTTTGGAGGTAAAGCCAACAGGACTGGATGTGGAGCGTGAGAAGGAGTCAAGAATGATGCCAAGGTTTTGGCTTGAGCAATTAAAATGATGAAGTGGCCATGCACCAGGTTGGGGGAGACTGTTGTAGGAACAGGTTAAGTTTGAGATGTCTATTAGATATCCAGAGATGTCAAGCAGGCTAATGGATAGAAGAGTCTCCGTTTCAGGATAGGTCTAGGGCTGAGATAAAAATTTGGAAGTCAAGAGCAAATGGATGGTATTTAAAATAATAAAGCTGGACGAAATCACTAAGAGAACAAGCTCAGAGGTCAGAGATGGAAACCAGAAAAAAGACTAACCAGGAGCCAATGCTGTAAAGGACAGCTGGAGGGGGATGTGCAATCAAGGGAGGTTTTTGGTTTCATTAAGAGACCAGAAGTTATAGGATCTTTATATGGAAGTGATCCAGGAGGAAAAATTAATCCATGAGAAAAAAAGAGAGCAGATAGCGCAATGTCCTTGAGGAGAAAGAAAAAACTCGTAGGTGGAGTCATCCATAATAAAAGGAATGAAGGTGCAGGTGTCAGGAGGTGGGCAGATATGATTGTGGGAGACAGAAAACAAACGAGTGCTTCAATTTTTCAGTGAAGTAGGAAGCAAGGATATCACCTCAAAACAAACATGACAGAGGAGATGCTAGAAGTTTGAGAAGGGAGAGAGAGTGTCAAACAGCTTACCAGGACAGTGAGTGACTAAGAGAAACCAAGTGTGGTTACTGGGCAACAAGAGCACATCTGATGTTCAGAATAAGGCCAAACAGGCAAGATATTTCTGCATGTGACTCTTTGAATGAAAGTGACAAGTACTTTTACCCTCATGGCTCTGGTTCTTAAATTCAATTTTTTCTCCAATTTTGGATTATTTATGCATCAGTTGTACTTCAAATTTCGTTTTAGACTTAAATTAACACATTTTCATCTTCTTTACATGGATCATAAAATAATAAACATCCAAAGACCCTTTAACAATCACTATATTTCTATGGGCATAACTATAGCTTGTTTCAGTGAAAACTAAATTTTTATTCAAAGGTATTTCATAGTCCATTTGTGATTAATAATGTTCATTTCTGATGTTTTTCAGCATACCTGATTGATAAAGTCAAAATCAAAGGCTATTATGCATTCAAACTGACTGAAGAAAAATCTAAACCCAGATTTGGATTCTTTTCATCTGATTTTAAAGCTAAGTCCTCAATACAGTTTTACAACAAACTGATCAGCAACAGCGGCTTCCCTTCTGAGAACGGCAGTCCTACGTGCACTGAGACTCAAAGAAACAAAGAGTGCACTGTCTGCTTATTCCTTGTGCAGAGAAAACCGCTGATATTCTTGGGTTGCTGCTTCTTCTCCACCCTGGTTCTTTTATCAATTACCATTTTTCATAAGCAAAAAAGAAAATTTTGGAAAGCAAAGAACTTACAACACATACCATTAAAGAAAGGCCGCAAGAGAGTTCTTAGCTAAACCGGTCTTATTTTTGTCTGCATGACAGTTTAAAAATTCACTCCAGTTCGCTATACTGGTAACTCACAGGAGATATACCTGTATTGTAGAGACAGTTTGAGAGAGAGTGGTAACCAAAGTGATGACAATCCATGTCTCTGCTGTGTGGTTTAAACGAATTTTCCCTCAGGTGTTGACACCAGTGAATCCATTGCTTCTTGAAGTTTGATGAGCTGTTTTCCATCATCTTCTCTAGCTTTGTCTAAATGCCAATAGCTACTTATGGTAAAATAAATTATTTTTTAGAAACAAAGCTTTGTTTTGTAGACTCTGTAACAGGAATTTTAAACTCTTTAGATAGTGAGTAATAATATATTCTGTCACTTCTAACAAGGTGCTTTTCCCTTTTAGGTCAGGGTGGTTCTCAAAGGAAAAGAAAAAACACAGTAGGGTTAATGCTTATCTGTAGCCAGTTACAGCACAGAGTCTTAAGTGCATCAGTCCCTTCGTTTTTCTCAACAGAAATAAAAATTCCCACTTAAACATCTAATTTTGTGATCTCTTACTATAAGATCTGATTTGAAATAAAGTAACATAATTTCCAAAACTCATCTCATGGACAGATCACAGGATTAAGGAGATCTCGACTCAACTGTCTATGAAGACAAGGAAGTCACTCAACCTCACAGTACAGCGACTTCCCCTTTAGACAAATCGACATCATTCCTCCTGATTTTTGCGAAGACAAGATTTGGCACACTCAGGAAAGCTAAGCATTCTAAAAAGATGTAAAGTTTATTGGTTGTTGTAACAGTCAGCCAAAGGGCATCATTCCTTAAGACTTGCTCTCTTCCCTGAGTAACTTCACTGTTCTGATGCCACAAGCATACAGGCACCTCCCAAGATGTAGAATGCAGCTGTATCTGGACCTAGCAACTGTGACTCTTTGGATGCAATTCAGAATGTGGATAGTCTGAATGAGTTAAAATTTTTATTTTATATACTGACTTGCCCAGTGTATTCTAAATATTGGTAGAGAAAACTTGAGCAAGTACCCATTTATACCTATTCTTTAGGTTAGTTAACATTTCAACCACACATTACACACAGTAAACAGTGGCTGTCTGCCCCCACCTCCACCCCACCCCCACCTCCACCGAGATTGACTTTTAAGAGTCAAAGGAGGCCAGTTGCCTATAATCCAGTCCTTTGGTAAGAACAAGGCCAGAGGATCACTTGAGGCCAGTTCAAGATTGCGGGGAGCTGATCAACGCCACTGCACTCCAGCCTGGAGCAAGATACTGTCTCTAAAGGAGTCAAAGGAAAGTTGTTCCGTTATAAAGCCTTAGTAGGAACTACTCTAAACTGCAATTGTATTCTAGGCCCACTTATGTCAGAAGCCAAATTTAGCATATAATTGAGATTCTAATGGATAATGAACAAGGTTTCAAAGATACTGTAAAGACATAATTTTAAAAAAATTCAAGCAAATGCAAAAGTGATGGGAAATCAGTTTGCTATTTGGCCTGCCAAATTCAAATAGTAAAACTTTGCTTGTTTTTCCTTTATGCCTTTTCTCCTTGCCCCCACTCCACTCACTACACTAACCTTGGGAGTTCTGAGGTATACTTTGCAAGGCATTTTTAATATTTCCCTTTGAAGAAACTATGTGCCTAAAGCTATGCATAATTACACCTGATCAATTCTGCTTTATTATGTTAACTGTGTAGGTTATTTCCCCAGCGTCAGCCAGACCCAAGAGCTCCAGTGAAAGTTCTTAGTGTGGACCGGGCAACTTATTAACCTATCTTTAACATGAAGGTCTTAAAGAAGAAAGGCAGTAGGAATAACCTTTTGGTTATCCTTTTGGTTGGGATTAACCTTTTAGGTCTTGCTTTCTGGTCTCTACAACAGTTTAAAAAAACCTCTAGAAAATGAGGCCAGTGGATTGTGATTAAATATTTAATTTTCAGTGTAATTTATTCCAATTCACTAGTTCATGCTGATTATTTATATTCAACTAATAATCTAGTAGATTCCAAGAACTGTGGAATGGGAATGGGCTTGGCACTGCAACTGGGCTCTGCCCAACACTGTCTTCCCCTCCCCCTTCTGCCTAGCTGTGTGCCTACTTAAGTTACTTCTGGGTAAAATCTGGACACTTACACCTCAAAGTTGGGAAAATAACACACAAGTGCTCATCCCTAGGAGACACAGAAGACAATGAAAAAGTCTTTCCTGGTGGACAATTAAGATTCATTTACCATACCCAAGTTATTAAATGGAAATCACTCTTTAGCTACAACTAAGTTAGACTGCGAAGGTCACACATAGCACACCACTCTGCTCTATTCTCAAGAGAAAACTTATTTACTCCCACAGCAGCCACATGTACCCATATACTGACACTCTCAATATTAACATCTCTACCCCACTATAATACTGCCACTTAGAAATTTCTCCCTCAAAAGAAATTATTTTGAAATTCTTTCAATACCTTCCAAAACATCTCCTTTCCAGTCCCATTGCTATTACTAAGTCCCCAGCAATCTGGGAACCACCTACTCAGCAAATAGCTATGTACCATTACTCTAGGTACTTGGAATATAACAAACAGCACACAAGACTGTATCCTCATCCTCATGAAGGTTACATTTGAGCAGGAAAAAAAAATACTGCATATAATACATACAGAATAAAGGAAACCGTGAATAGCAGATTACAAATGCTATGGACAAAAACAAGTGGAGGAGGATAAGGAGATGACAGGATGGGGTGAGCAGTGCCACTTGAAGGGCAGTCAAAGTAGACTTCACTGCAGACAGACCTGAACTTGAGCAAGTTAGCCACACGGCTCAGCTGAAAGCCTTCCAAAGCGAAAAGACAACTTGAAGATTTACGACGACAGTGCTTGGTACTGAGGAGGTACTGAAAGTCAGTTCAGCTACTGTGCAGAAGTTAGAAAAGTTAAGAAGTGACAACTTTAAAACTGTTGCAGGATTTGGAGTGCTATGTTTAAAAAAAAAGGCACCCTGGCAGATGCTGAAAATAGACGGGGGAGCAGAGGGGACCAGTTAAAAGGCAATTACAACAATCCAGGTGAAATATACAGTGTTTCATTTTCTCCATTCTGAAAAATTAAAAAACTAAGTGGAATAGTATAATGAACCCATATTTTCTAACTTTACCAATTATTCATAAGTAATCTTAGTTCACCTAAAACCCCATTCAATGCCTACAAGCCCACCTCAGATATTTCTAAGCAAATCATTTCGCTCAAACTTCTTAAAAAGCTAACCATATAGTCATCAAACAGATTAACTCCTCAGTATCATATATTCATTTGGTGCGCCTGACTCAAGAGCTAAGTAAGATCCATACATTCCAACTGGTTGCTTAATGTCTCTGATAAAGACTCTGAACATACCTTATACTTTTGAAGGTATTCACCAGGCTTACCTCATGCACTAGATGAGAAATTAAGATTGAACATTAAACTTTGCCTGAAAAATTCCTGTTCTATTCCTTCTGCATTGTTCTTAGTTCACTAGAGTTTATTCCTGAACTATCATACTTGCCAAGTAGTTAAAAAGGATAATCGGTTTAAGGAAAAGTCCCAAACCAATAGGTCTTTTATTGCATCATCAAAATTACAAATACATCTTAGTAATCATGTGTCATCTTCATGCGGCTGGACAACTGTAAAAAGAAATGAAAATATCTGTAAATCTCCATCGATGCCCTTGCCTAGAAAAGTACTTTTCTAAATAATTTAAAACATACTTTAGGATTATGATTTACTGGCTCACAGTAAACTGTACATAGTAAAACATATGCAATGCTGTCTCTTATTTTGCCAAATTTACTGTGTTCTAGATCCCAACTCTCCATTTTTTGGTAAACTCCACTTTTAAGTCCTTAAGTAAATTAAGAGTCTCAACTATAGCAGTAAAAAACTTATAGACGCTACAAGAACCTACCTCTTAGATCTTATTCGTCAGCCTGCTGAACTGTTCCTTTTTCAGAGACATAGATACCATCCAAAAATTTTCTGATATCCTTGTTTTTAACTGTTGTGGCTTGCTGAATCAAAGCAGCTACAGGGGTGGAAAAGATAAGGTAATTACTACATCAGCCAAATCCATTTTGAAAAGAAAGTACTTGATTAAATATATGCTACACTTAAAGTCTGAGAATATCTTTGACAGCTTTTTAATTCCCACAATTTAAAAAGCTAATCAAACAAAATGAGTAAAATACCATGTATTCAACTACAAGACTTAGACAAAATTTTGCTGATTAGACATAGTAAACATACAAACCTGAATTTGAAACAAGCTCAATGTCATTTCCTTCAAGGATCAACTCATCTTTCTGTGCTTGAGATACTGAACAAGCAACACCTAAAAAGTGCGAGGGCATTTATAGTATTAACATAAAGTTAGATCTGTGTAAAAAACATTCAAATTCAAGGGGTGAGTAATTTACGCCATTTAAAATTCCATGTACCAACTGAACCTTCTCTTGAGATTTTGGTTTACAGGATCTGACTTAGCCAGTATCTCATTTGTGTCCCTGCCTGAATGACCCATAGTCCCACAGCAGTTACTGACTCTGTCAGTGATTCAAATAAGGTAATGAGACAGTGAAGTTCAGTTGTTCAAAGCCTTGTACCAAGTCTTTTAGTGTTTACTATGTATTAGGCAAGCACTGTTGTAAGTATTTTCCAAATTTAACTCATTTACTCATGAGAAGTTCCCAATTTTACAAATGAGTAAAAAAAAAGCTACAGGGAGGCAATTCACCCAAGGTAGAGAATGAGAGCTGAACTTTAAACCTAGGCTATTTACCACTATTCAAATGGTCTTTCCTTTGGATTTTAAATGTTCTCACCACAAAGAAATTAAGTGAGGAGATGAATATGTTCATTAGCCTGATTTGGCTATTCCACAATGGATACATGTAATGAAACATCACCTCACATGTACCCCCAAAATATACAATCATATATATTTTTTGTAAATTAGAAGTAAAAATGCAGCTACTGTGCTCTGCAAACTACTCCAATGTGTAACCCGTCAGGAATCCCAATAATGACAGAAACCCTTAACCAAGAACTATTAAAAGAGTAATCAAAAGAGAAAATTCTGAAATAAATCTAGTTTCACTCATAGCTAACTCAAAAAACCAGCCTCCAGAGGTATGAAGAAAAAATTTCTGAAGTATCTGAGGGTATGCACGTACCTGGCCTCATCCGAACCCTGCGGATGTATTTTTCACCTAAGAAATTTCGTATTTC